AGAGACCATGTAGAGTGTACCTAGTCATGAGTATTTGTGATTTCCAACATCGGACCATTGATTTAGTACATTTCCATATATTTCGCCGGCATGGTCATTAAGAAGGGCCATTTTTAGCACAGATTTACAACTAATCAAAATGGCAAGTAAAAGCAATCCCCTTGACCAATTTTCTGTCCAAACGTTCTGGCTTCACTCCTCGTCGATGTTACTTATATTCTACCTTCTAGTGCTGCATAGAAATGTGAATTGTGTGAATATGTAAATGGGCCATATGCAGCACTAGAATGTAGAACAAAAATTAGGGGCAACGAGTGATGACACAACGGTTGAACAGTAAATTGGTCGAGGGGATTGCCTATACTTGTCACTTTGTTAAGTTGTAATTTTGTGCCAACAATGGCACCTCTCAATGGAGATTTCGACTACAATGCCAGCGAAACGTTTGAAAATGCTAGAAGCCATGAATATTATGGCAGATAACGCAGAACTAGCTACGTTTCACAAGGTCTCCTGATGCTCTGACAAAGTTGCGAAAACGAGTTCAAGTCAACACTAGCAGTAATTCTGTTATTATGTCAGGAAATAACTATGACCATATCCAACAACCTTCATCAAAATCATCTTAGGTTAAAAGTTCTGCCAATTCACAATTCGCCTTTATCCATTTTTATATTTAAAATCGAAACTTCTTCATGTAATTTAATTTCCTCTATTCTGACATGGTTTGTAAGGTGGCCGATTTGTGCCGCGCTGCGTGCTTACCGATCTGGAACCGGGCACTTTGGATGCTATCCGGAATGGCCGCTATGGCGGCCTATACCGACCTGACAATTTCGTGTTTGGCACTTCTGGGGCTGGCAACAATTGGGCAAAGGGCCACTACACTGACGGCGCAGAGATGATCGAACTAATCATGGAGTTGGTACGCAAGGAGGCTGAGGTCTGTGAATGCATTCAAGGTTTTCAGATTGTGCACTCTCTTGGCGGAGGCACCGGCTCAGGACTTGGCACACTTTTGTTGAGCAAAATCAAAGAGGAGTATCCTGATCGTATCAGCTGCACCTTCTCTGTAGTTCCCTCGCCAAAGGCAAGCCATTGATGCTCTCAGATGGTGTCTACGACTGTATCTTTCAGGTCAAATCTTTTTAGCTATAATTCAGGATCATTTGGAAGTTTAAGATCTTTGCTAAACGGACTAAAAGGGCACTGCCTACTCTGATAAAAGCGTGGTCACCTCAGATTTTGACTAGATTTGTATACAGTTATTTACGGGTTTGTCTAGAGGGCATTTTACACATTGTCCTTTCAATCAACCGATTTGGTGATTATGAGCCCATTTTATTTGCTCCTTTTAGTATACATCTGAGTTCGCTGAAGCATGAGAAAAGCCGGAATGTTGGCAATCTGTGTGAAGCTTCGAGTTAAGTATCTGGCTATAGACACGACATAAAAAAAGAAATAAGTTCTATAACTGTGCCGAAGAGACATTGAAGATCGAAGTTTTGTATACATTTGGTGAGCAGCATTGGAGTTAGTCGGTTGGCCTCCATTGGAACCCGGCAAAAGATTGTATTATAGTTTTGATTATTGATGTGAAAGTAGAAGTCGTTGATACACATTTCTACGAGCCAGAAAACCCTGTGCTAAGCTTTAGTCCATCCTTTTAGTGCAAATATTTTAAGGGCGAGATACCATTAAAGAAAATAATTTAACGAAGAACACTAATCGATGTAAGTAAGCTGTCTTGGATCTCATCAAACTCGTATAGCCTTACTTTTGAGCATACCCAAATGTGTAACAGTTCGGCTGGATTAAAAGACGTTGTTAATGAATGCGTGCAAATAGCCAGGCGTAGAAGGACGTGGCCAAAATTCTATTCTATTTCATAAATAATCTATATTTGGTTAATGCATTGGGATTATACAATATCAGGGAATGTCATGCTGTGCGCTTGAACACACGTAGAATGGTAATGCTTATGTATCGTTTGGACTCCAAATGGATATCGAATACTGTTTAGGAATATTGTTTAATGGAA